GCTCCCGTGCCTCGCTCAGCCAGTGAGCGGGAACCGGTCTGTATGTGGGATCCGAACCCTCGGCGGGAGCACCGCCGCGCTTCCAAAGCGGCACACTGTAGCAGTGCGCCACCGGGCCGGCCCTAAAAAGACAATCTTAAAATGGGCAAAACATCTAACAGACATTTCTCCAAGAAGACACATAAGTGGCCAGTAATCACATGAAAAGATACTCAACATCATTAATCAAAACTGTGTCCCCATCACCACAATCTAATTCCAGAACATTTTATCACCCCCAAAAGAAACCCCCACCCATGAGCAGCCACCTCCCGTTCTCCTCTCCCCCAGCCCCTGGAAACCACTAATCCACTTTCTGTCTCTGTGGATTTGCCTGTTTGGACGTTTCACATACGCAGCTCTTGCAACTGGCTTCTTCCACTTGGCACGGTGTGTTCAGGTGCACCCATGTCATAGCGTGTGTCACTATTTCATTCCCTTTTATGGCCAAATTCTGTTCCACTGCATAGACAGACCACATGGTGTTCGTCCATCAGCTGACAGGCACCTGGGTGTTTCACTCTTGGCTGTTGCGAGCAGTGCTGCTGTGAACACTCAGTACAAGTCTTTACATGGACGCAAGTCGTCATTTCTCTTAGGCTTAGACCTAGGAGTGGAATTGCTGGGTCATATGGTCATTCTGTGTTTAGCTTTTTAAGGGGCTGCCAGACTGTTCTCTACAGCAGCTGCACCATCTTACAGTCCACCAGCGGTGAGCACGTCAGGGCCCCTGTCTCTCCAGGTCTTTGCCAGGTGGGTCGTTCTTGGCCATAAAAGGGAACTCTGAGCAGCCATAAAAGGTGACTCTGAGCGGTCATGGTGAGGACACATCTGCATCTCATCATTTCCAAGGGACACGTGGTCAGCCTGTTGCTGACGGCCAGCATTTGCTCCCATCCTGCTCACTATTCCCAAATCCAGTGGGTTCTCCCAGAATCTCACCAGTCACCCAGGACCCCTCATCGTCACAGGGTCACCCTCACACCGACAGCTCCTGAGTTCCTGGTGTCCCTGCCTCCTGGAGGAAGCAGGCATGGGGCCTGGGCCTCAGAGCACCCAGCAGGGTCCTGGTGCTTCTGCCACCTGCATGTCCCCTGACCCCCCAGTCAGAATGCAGGGGTGGGACTCCCATAGGGGTCACAAGTAATCCACACAGGTGACAGGATTGTCACTGAGAGAAGGGAACTGGGTCACACAGGGCAGAGGAGGGGAGACCATCCAGACCAGCAGGACAAGGCGCCTTCCCCACCCCAGGTCCAGGCAGGACACTATCATTCTGGGCCAGCTTGTCCTGGAGTGAGGGACACAGGCTTTGCCACAGATCCTCCTGCCCTTAGCTGAGCGTGTGGTGCCCCCAGGAGGCTGGTGCTGGGAGGGGGAGGAAGGAGGCACTGGGCCACATGCCTCTGTCTCCACAGGCTGGCTCTGAGACCCTCTCTACCTCACATCAGCCTTTTCTGTTACCCACAGACCAGGAAAGTGCCTACTGTGTGCCAGGCTCACAAGGGCAGAGGCAGACCTGGCCTGGATCCAGCAGTGGACGGAGACTCTGGGACCCCTGCTGCGCTGGGAATGTTGAACAGGCTTGGGGAAGGGGTCCTGAAGCTTCCAGGTCCCTGGGGTGGAGGAAACGTGGGCATCCTGAAGGACCCAAGAGGCTGAGGGCAGGGGCTGGCTGGAGGGGCCGGGGCGGTGCGGAGTCAGGCCAGGCTCAGGAGCGACACGCGGCAGCGGGCCCCCACACCCCCTCATGGGCACAGGGATCAGCGCAGGCAGGGTAGGGCAGGGCCCAGAAGGCGGCTTGGGTCTCCACCCCACGTCAGGCCCTGCATCCTCGAGATGCTGGCTGCCCTCAAGAAGGCAAATGGCGGAAGCTCAGAGTCGCAGCGAAACTGGATTTGCCCACAGCCCAGCACCGAGGACTCCAGACACGCAGGTGGGGGAGGGGAGCGCCCGTCGTTTTTGGAGCTCACTCACCTTCTCCCGGTCTCATGGCAGCGCCTCTGCAGGGCGGACTCATGACCCCTCTCTTCAAGGCCCCTTCCCTGTCCTCCCAGGCCCTAGGACAGCTCGGTGGCTCTTCAGGCTGCAGCCCCGCGACCAGTCAGAGGCCCAGGCGCCTGCACAAGGGCCGCCCCTCCCCAAGAGCTGCAGGACACCAGCGCTTGCCTAGGCGGGAGAGACCCCAGCTTGGGGTCTTCCCACACGTGGTCAGGAGAGCCCTGCTCTAAGCCCCATGGCCAGCGTGCCCGGATGCGCTGGACGCCCCATGGGAGCAGTGCAGACCCTGGCCCTGGGGCTGAACTTGACTAAGAGGAAACGGGTGAGATTCTTGCTCCCTGATGGCCAGAGGTCTCCATGGCCGGGTGGCCATTCCCCGGTGGCCAAGCTCCAGGTCTAGCCCACTCAGCGTCCCCGTCTGGGAAGCAGCTGGAAGGGACCTGGCCAGGAGCGGTGCCATCTTGTGCGTGCGGGTTTCGAGAACGACACAGGAGTTGCTTGTTAAGGCCAGGGAGTGGAGACGGGTTTCCTCTACTGCAGCTCCCATTAAAGCCACTTGAACACCTGACTCTTGAGACCAAGCAGGCCTGAACATGTTAGCCTAACTAAGCAGGTCCTCGCACTTCTCCTGTCACACACAGTGACCCTGGTAGGCCCCAATGGCACAGCCGGCCAATTCTGAGCTGAAGGACCACCAGGTCAGGACGCCCATCCCGGGCCCCGCGGGGAGGGTGCTCACTCACCGGCCTCCAGGCCTCCGTGCTGCTGCGGGAGCTGCACGGCCAGGCAGAGCTGCAGCGCCAATTGGGTCTTCCCTGCCGCGCTGCGGCCAGTCAGCTCGGTGACACCCTCCAGGGGCAGGCCACCCCTCAGGAACCCGTCCAGCACAGGGCAGCCGAGGCTCAGGCGCTGGTGCTGCGCTGGGAACCGCTCCTTCTGCTGGTGCAGGTGCAGTGCTGTGGAGGAGGGCAGGTCAACCTGGCATGCCTGCGACTGCGCTGTGCCGGGCAGGTGTGGCGTGGTGGGAGGACAGGTGACTGCAGTCACACGGGGTGGGCAGGGAGCCAAGGGCAGGCAGGAGACAGCCTGGCTGAGAAGCATAGTGTGCACCAGAGACAGAATCACTGAGAACCTGCCCCGTTAGACCATCTCAGTAACCTTCAGGGAGTGATCCACCCGGATGTTCCCCTAAGAAGGAGGTGGCCGAGCACCAGCTGCTGAAGGAGGCCCTGAGCCCAGAGCTGCCTCTGGCCCCTGAAGGGGCGGTGCAGAGCTGGCTGCCTTCAGCCGCTGCCCCCGGGGATCTAAGGCTCCCTGACAGTCTCAAGGTAAAGGGGAACTAGCAATTTACATGAACTGTCATGGTCCCAGGTTGTGTGACGGTTTTGAATAGGCTTTAAAATGGCTCAGACTTCAATGATGTTTACGTGAAAACATAAAAATCACACAGAAGGTGCATTCTGCAGCAAAAGGCACTTCCACGTCAGGCCAGAATGGGGACCAGCCTGCCGAGCAGCCAGACGCCACTCGGGCCTCAGCCTCGCCCTCTCCCGTGAGCCTCTCCTCCTGGGAGCAGGTGGGGCAGCTCCCGAGGGAAGGGCTTTGCAGCCCCTGACTTGAGAGGTGCAGGGGCCCTGGGTATGTTCACACACGCACACAGGCAATCACATGCACACGTGTGCACACATACACACCCTGTGCCAGTTGGCATTCTGACAGATGCTCCTCTAGAAGGACCCTGGTCACAGCCTCTTGGTCACCAGGCCTCGGACATGCCATGTGACACCAGGACCCTTTGGGCGAGGCTCAAGGCACGACATGAGGCGCAGGCTGAGTTCATGGCCTGAGGAGTGGACTCATCCTGCCTGATCAGTGCCTGGGGCCCTCAGCTCGGGTAGAGCTGGCAAATGTGAGAAGCCCTGGGAGCCCACCCATTTTAGCATGTTCCACAGGGTGGCATGTGGTGGGGGCCAACTACAGCAGGCCAATGCTCGGTGTGGTCCATGGAGTCACCTGCAGGGGAGGGAGGACCCCCCCCAGGTGAGGACCCCCAGCCGCCCACCAGGGCCTGCTCAGATGCAGAGACGGGCACCTTGTTCTGCAGGGCACATGGGGCTGGGAGTGCTGGCCTAAACTCCCTGAGAACAGGAACCAGCCCGGAGCCTCCTCACCTGCTGGCCCACAGGCCATGAGCCGTGAGGGCCAAGACCTGGGTTTCCTGTACACAGTGGTGGGACCTGGGCAGGTCCCTTGGCTGCCCAGGCCTGTCTGGCCAGGAGGCCCCTAGGCTGTAGCACCTTGGCCGTCACTGTGCTGTTTCCGCTCCATGCTGGGCAGGCCCAGGGGGCTCTGGGCTGTCTCTGTTGCCAGCACAGCCCCTGCTTCCTGTGCCCCCACCTTGTCCCCCAGTGAGTCTCTCCTCCGCATGAGACTGTTCCTTAGGGGGAGGCTGTGACCACACCCCCCCTACTGCCTGGAGCCTGGAGCACAACGTCCACACCGGTGATGGCAATCCACCTGCCAGCCCCCAGCAGAAACCCCAGGCCACCCACCAGCGCACACTGGCCACCTCATACCCACCTGTGAGGACACTGCTTCCCCGCAGGTGTAAGGAGGCCATTCTCAACAAGTGCTGGATGTCGGGGCGGGAGAGGTGGGTCAGTCTCTGCAAGTCTGGTCCAGAAAAGTGCAGAACCTCCTTAACTGATTTCAGTTTGGCTGAAATTACACAGATAAATTACAAGAAAAAGTCAGACTATAGTAACACAAGGCAACACAGCAACCAGTGTCTTGTGAGAGCATCGTGCCTCAGTTCTGGGGACACATGGGTAGGGGTTGGATCTATCTGCTCCCCGAAGTCCCTGGGAAATGCTGGATGGAGTGTGACAAACGGACGGGGCAAGAAGAGAAGGGGCTGGAGGCAGTGGCTGCTCAGCCCTGGACACTTGTGACCTGGACCTCAGGACCTTGGGTGGGCGCTGACCTTGCACCTGCAGCAGCGGATGCCCCAGGTGCCGAGAGCTGGTGACCATCATCCAGTTCCAGGCCCGCTGAAAGCATCTCTCAAGAAAGGGCCAATGTACAAGCCAACACTGAGGCTTCTGCCGCCTCTGCCTGCAGGCCTGAACGCCAGGCAAGGGGAGGCGCCAGAAGGGGAGCAGAGCCCGGACCCACACCAACGACAGCCGCACGGGACAGTTGGGATGGCCGGCGGGGACAGCCAACAGCATGTGAGAATTATAACCAGCAACACATGCCGGGCAGATTACAGGGTTAAAACACCCCAAGCATCTGCTATTTTAGGAGGGCAAATACATCAATTTTGGTCATGGATAAGTGCATTACTTTCTACTTTCAAACTAGTAGAAGAAAAAAACATTACAAATATAGCCAGCCAACGCAAAAGGCAGCAAAAAAGAGAAAACATCACAAAGAAGCAGGACAAATGGCTCAGCATGAGGGAGATTTAAACCCAAATATATCAGTAATGACCTCAAATACATATGCACTGAATGCTCCAGTTAAAAGACAGAGACCATCAGACTGGGGCACAGAAAAACCAAACCACAACCACTGAAGTGCTCCCTAGAAAAGACACGTGGAAAACATAAGGCTACAGAAAGGTCTGAAGTAAAAGAAAGCGAACGTGGATATTTCAAAATCAAAGTAGGCTTTCATGCAAAAAGTGCTGTTTCAGGAAGGTTCTGTTGGAGCAGCCAAGGGGTCGGCTCTGGGGTCCACGGCAGGACAGCCCTGCTGGCCAGAGCCTCACGGCCCTAGCGCCCTTCACAGCTGGATCTGCTGGGGCTTCTGGAAAAATTCCTCTTCTGGTAAGAGACACAGGTGAGAAAGAAGAGCCTGCACAGCCTGCTCCCCCTTCTCTGTCCCCAGACTGCAGGCCTCATGTCTGCAGCTGTGGCAGCCATCCTGTGACCATAAGGCCACAAACAGAGGAGGACAAAAAAGCAACAGCCAAAGATGGAGGAGCAGGACAGTGAGACCCCCACCCAGGACCCTGCCCCAGTCACCAAGCTGCTGTACCAGCCCCCAAGTGCGCTCAGACTCTTCGTTATGTAATTGACAAGTGCCCTAATGTTCAAGAATCCCTAACAGATACCCTGGGAGACAGGGAAGATGACAGCGCAGTCCCAGGACAACAGCTGCGCAGCCGGCCAAAAGAGCAGCCAGTGCGGGTGCAGTGGGAGGCAGGATGGGGGGCCTGGGATGGAAGCGCCAGGAAGATGAGCAGGACAGGAGCTACCCAATCCTCTGAGCATTTAGCAAAGAGCCAGTGGTGCCCAACAGAGCCACTGGAGTATGTGGGAAAAATCAGCACATTAAAAAAGGAGGCAACGGGCCGGCCCGTGGCTCACTCGGGAGAGTGCGGTGCTGATAACACCAAGGCCCCGGGTTCGGATCCCATATACAGATGGCCGGTTCGCTCACTGGCTGAGCGTGGTGCTGACAACACCAAGTCAAGGGTTAAGATCCCCTTACCGGTCATCTTTAAAAAAAAAAAAAAATAAAAAAGAGGCAACTACTAACTCTAGGGGGAAAAAGCAAAGATGCAAAAAGGAAGAAAATGGTCATAGCTCTGGGCCCCCCCCCTCCCCCAGGCCGGGCAACGGCCAATACATACCCAGTCACAACCCTGACAGCTGAAAAAGGAGGCAACTACTAACTCTAGGGGGAAAAAGCAAAGATGCAACAAGGAAGAAAATGGTCATAGCTCTGGGCCCCCCCCCTCCCCCAGGCTGGGCAACGGCCAATACATACCCAGTCACAACCCTGACAGCTGATGGCTGACGTGACCCAAACTCTGTTCTAACTACGGTGGGGGTGGGGGGAGGGGAGGAAGTAGGGGCATGTGGGGGCAAGTGAGCTCAGCCCTTACCCCCACCAGGAAGTCTATGAGTCATCAACGACTCTGATGAAGCAAACACAGCAATATAAGCACATTATTTAGGGGCTCAAATGTAAATATTTTTTTAAATTGCTACAAGATTCATAAGTGGTTCCATTTCACTTTTTAGACAATATGCACATATTACTTTGATAAAAATAAAATTAACTGAAAAGTCCTTTCAGTTAAGAAAACATACACACAGCTGAAAAATCTGCAGCACGGTCCAACGTCGGTGTAATAATCAAAATCAAGTGTCTTTTGGGCCAGCCTGTGGCTCACTCGGGAGAGTGCGGTGCTGATAACACCAAGGCCCCGGGTTCAGATCCCATATAGGGATGGCCGGTTGGCTCGCTGGCTGAGTGTGGTGCTGACAACACCAAGTCAAGGGTTAGGATCCCCTTACCGGTCATCTTTAAAAAAAAAAAAAAAAAATCAAGTGTCTTTTTTTTTGTCCTTTTTGAGACCAGCCGCACCGTGCTCAGCCAGTGAGCGCTGTGAGCGTGTGCTCCCAGCGCCGCACTCTCCCGAATGCGCCACGGGCTTGGCCCATCAAGTGTCTTTTTTTAAAAAGTGGGTTTCTCTAAGGATCAAGGGTCTTTTAGGGAAGAGTAAGCAGAGGGGGAGACTCAGACTGGGACAGCTAACGTTTTGTTAACTTGTTTTATATAAAGTACTGTATACATGTACATCCGCACATTTCACACTGCATATATTTTTTACATAAACACAAATAAATATACCTTTCTTAACTGCAGCAGTAATTCTGGGATTCAGGTCCAATTGATCCACATCCATTTCTTCAATGGGGTGGCTGCAAGCAGGAATAACTTCCCGGGGACAGATGAGACAATGGACACAGATCCTGAGGCTCTTGTTGTAACTCACAGCGCTGTGGGAGCCAAGGGTACCAGAGAAGTGATGGCAGCTGTGGTGTGTGATCCAGGTGGCAGTGTCCTCTACCAGTGTGGTTAGGCCTCCTCACTGCACTGCAACACTGTCTAGGTAAGTCTAAGGCAGCATTTTTGCAGAGCAATTTACCTCTAAGAATTACTGGGCAGCTTAGAAACCTTGGACTCATTGTGGACACTGATGCACTTGGGAAACATCCCCCAACCCACCAATGTTCTGAAGGTCGACAGCAGCTCCCGGTGCTTCAGAACCAAGCGTGTCCTCTGGTCGTGGGTCCTCAGCACCAGACTCACCTCTCTTGGCCTTGGGAAGATCACGCAGTCCCAGATCCACTCCACGGAAGCATCTTTTGCTTTCTCCAGTTTAGTTTCCTTTAGATTGTCTCCGTGGGGATTCTGGAAAGAGTATGAAAATTGAGTTTGGGATTTTGCAGGATACTTGGGGAATATGAACCCGAGCAGCCACCAGGCTGTTTCGGCCGAGAACAGTGGAAGTCCGGGTCCTGCCAGGCTGGCTGCCCGCCCTACACCCCTCGTCCCACAAGCACGTGGGCAGCCCTCTCCAGGCAGCAGGCACCAGGAGCCCAGCTAGCACGTGAGGACAGCAGGCTTTCCTCATGCCTCGGATGGCTGTGCAGGGACTCAGCCCAGGGTCACACAGGACCTTTCCAACAAGCCACTAAGTAGCCCCTCTTCAGCCCCCCAAACAGCAAGGCCAAGAACGGGTGAAGCAGGCCAGGAGCCATGAGGGCTGAGCTCAGGGCACATCCTCTAGCAAGGCAGGCGCTAACCCAGATGAGGGAAGGCTGGTGGCTGTGAGCAGGTGAGATGCTGCACTGGCCCGGACAATATTATATTGGTTTGGAGCTTCATGAACCAGGTCATTTGCACTTCCAATTCTCATGGGCTGGTAAGGGAGACACAGGCCTGGCCCCAGAGAGGCTGAGACACTGAAGACAGATAGTCCAAGCTCCAGGGCTAAGGTGGGGCATGGGGGCATTGCTTTGCCTTGTGAACCATGACACCCTGACAGCCAGGTGCTAAGCAAGAGTATGCTAGGCTTGAGGGACATGTTTCCTGCCCTGGTCACAAGGCTCCTGGGGCCCCACAGCCTGTGGGTTTTCTGAGCCAGCAGCTGGTCCCATGTTCTGGCCTAGAGCAGGGGATAGGGAGGTTCTTGGCATCTGGCTGGTCAGGGCAGGAGACACACAGAGGGCCTGGCCCCTCACTGGTCCACAGAGCCCCAACTACAGGGTGGCTTGGCAGCTGGGGTCACCCTCTGGATGGGTCACCGTTAGAAAGGAGGTGGGGCTGGGCACAGGCCCCAGCTGGAACTCAGTGCCATGTGGATTCTAACCCGCTCAAATATGCCAACAAAGCTGGTGACTGGTGTGGGAAGGTCAGATTCCAGAAGACAGGAAGCAGATAAAAAAGAGAAATACCAGTTCCAGGAAAAAGTATTGTGTTGTCAAAGACATGGCCAGGCCTCACCTGGACAGGAATCTTGGGGCCCTGAGGACAGGAAGAGGTCGGGAGTGGTGTGAACCCAGGGCTGGCGGAAGACCCCATGACACACCCCACTGAGGCACCACCCAAAACACAGCGTGACAGCAACAGGCAGTTGTTTAACATTCTACAGCAACTGCTTGTCCACTCATGCTGGCACCCCATGCCAAGAGCGACCCGACTGCTACAAACAGGCATGTCCTGGGCTGTCAGGAAGCTGCAGCCTCGGACTGTCCTGGATACAGAACTCAGATTCTACATGTAGCTGGACACGGGCAGGAGAACCAGGAAGCCAGTGGGTGACTGTGACATCTCAAGCTCACGTGATGTGTTGGGGGCCATGGCACCTGGGAGCAGAGTGATGGCTGACGAAGGTTCTTTGCTTGCCCAACTGTAGTCAGGCTCCTGCACCTTCTCCTAGGCCCGTCTGCACATCCTTGGGAAATCCAGTTTTACCAAGAGCCCTGCTGAGTCAGCTTAGCAACAACCTCTTTCCCTCTGTATCTGGTGCTTCCTCCTCCTCCACAGCCCCCAGCTGAGTCTGGTCACCCAGCCCATCTTCAGCAAGAATCCTGTTCAGCTGGTTTACCCAGAGCCACCTCTCCCTGCTTCCTCTCAGTAACTTCCCATCCTCTGCCCCCCACCGTGCTTCTTGGCTGTAATCCCCACAGGCCCATGCAGTGTGACTGCTCAACTGGAGTTGAGCTCAGTCTCTCCCACCCACTGCAAGACCCCATCACCATGGTCCCTGTACCTGTCGGGATGATCCTAAATAAAGTCTACCTTACTGTGCTTTGACAAGTGTCACTGAATAATTTTTTTCTTTAACACCGAACACCTGCTGTGTCCTAGACACTGGCCCCGGAGCTCGATGGACAGCTCCACGCAGTGTCTTATCCTCCCCCCTCCATGAGGAGCAGGGGTGTGACCAGCCTGTTCCTCAGACGAGGGTGAAGGCTGTGCACAGGGAATGCCCAGCAGCGGGCAAAGGGCAGGCCCAGACATACTGACTGGTGCATCTTCCTAGAGCACCAAGCTAGGCCCCAGATCTCAGGGGCAGAGTGAACGTCCTGTGCTGCTTGGGGAGCATGACGAGTTCTGCAAGAGCAACGTTAGCAGGAACTGCTAGGCTCAAACTGAGGCCCCAGAACCACAAGCAGTCCCTGTCTGGAGCAGCCCTGGGTCTTCCCTGGCAGACTCACTTTTCTGTCTTGGAGTTCGGGAACCTGTTCTACAGCTTTGCCAAGACTCTAGACACTTCCATGGCCTGGTGCTCTGGAGCATACCCCTGTCCTTCCAGAGTATGATGTCTGACCTCAACTCTGTACTTTGATAGTACGCCTGAACTCAAGAACTTGATAGACATTTTGAGAGCACAGGCCATGGCAGGCTACACTGTCGCCTGCACCTGGCATGCAGGCTGCGACACGGGGGCACTGTTAGCCGTGGTGCCAGTCTACAAAGCCCAACCCTTGTCTTTGCAGATGAAGCCAGTTTCTCTTAAGAATTGCTCGTATAAAGGGACCCTCCATCTTCAGTGAGACTCTACTTTCCACAGAGGCCTGCTTACATCCTAATTGAGCCACGGGCCTCATAACTTTGGGGCTCACTATGGGTTGACGTGCCCATCTGTCCAGGCATTCTCTGTGAGGTTTCCCCACGCTATTCTCCCCCTCTTTAAGCTTGTGAACCCTAAAGCAAGTTCTTTCTAAGGCAATGAACCTTGTGATTAGAGAAGTCATACTTTGATCATCTCCTAGTTTCTGCCATGGCCCAGAGTAGGGCACCCCCTTGGCCCGTGCACGCTGGGGTGGGGGTGGCACTGCACAGAGGATGTGCCTCCACACGTCCTGAGCTGCAGACGCTGTGGCTGTAGCTTACTCGCCACAATGAGGGACTGAAGGCAGGATGAGCAAGGCTTTCTTTCACAGCAGATGCATTAAAATAACCATGTTCAGCCCCTTCCACATCAACGCCAGGTCAGCTCGGTGCCAGAGAGTTACCCAAACAAACCAGAGGGCAGTGGGGGGAGCAGCCCCCTCACCCCCACAACCCGCTCCCCGCTTCCAAAGGGGGCGGTGAACTTCCAAGATCCCCGCAGCACCTCAACTATCGTAAGCTCATGACTGCTGGTGCCCACCAGCGCTGCTGGGAGGGAGCTTTTACTACCAGTGACCTTGTGTGGCCAAGCCCGTCCTCCCACACCTGGGCCACTACTGAGCTTTCTCCAGCAGGCTGGCCTGGGCCCTCTCCTCCTCTGGTTTCCTGGGAAAAGCCTCATCCCTTCTCTGGACCCTCCTCCTCTGAAAAGTCCCCGAGTGATCTCACCCTGGGGCTTTCAGCACTCCCCATTCACCAATGGCTCCCCAGCCTTGGCCACCCCAGGGTGCCATGCAGATCTACCAACCGCCAGGAAACCAGGCTTGGCCCTCTCCCATCACTAAACACACGCCACCCACACTCTCCCCCACTGCCCCTGTGTTGTTGCCAGAACCCAAACTGCTCCCCTTGCAGCTGGGCCTGGTCAAGCCCTGTGGGGTGACAGCCCGAAGGGTCGGCCTCCTGTCAGCACCTCTCAGCGGTGCTGATCCTGGCTGCACTGCCTCTCACAGGTTCCTTCCAAGCGCCTTCCTCGGCAGGACCTTCGTTCCTGCTGTCCCTTCTGCCCAGGTCGTGGGCAGGCTCCTAATCGAGGGCCGGGGGCAGGGCACGTTGAAGACCCGCATCCCCTCCCTGCCCCAACCAAGACCCCCACCCCGCCCAGCTCCCCCACGCTGGCTGCCCCCAGTCTCCCACCCAGCCCAGCTCTCCAACGCTGGCTGCCCCCAGCCCCCCACCCCGCCCAGCTCCCTCACGCTGGCCGCCCCCAGCCCCCCAGCCTTCTGGGCCCCGACAGCCCCTGGCCTCCCGCACCGCCGTTCTCACCTCCCGCGCGCTCCACACACTTCTTCGCGCCGTCCCGCCCCTCTCAGCTTCCTCTTCCAATAAGCGCCTGGCGCCCTGCGCCGGAAAAGCCAATCAGAGACGCAGTGGCGCTACGTGACTGACTAACTGACCACTCCAAAGTCTCAAACTGTCCGAGAGGGGCGGAGCGTGCCCGGGCAGGCCGTCGCCGCCGATTGGTGGTCGACCGCAGGGTGGCAGGGGAGGTGCCCTTGCGTAGAGTGGAGAGGGCAGCGACTGGGCGGAGTCCGAACCCCGATTGGTCCGCGCTCCGGATCGGGCTTGCCGATTGGGCGCCGGCGCTGTCAGCCGCACGCGGGGCGGGGCGGGAAGGTCGGCACCGCCCAGCTGGGTGAGGGGCTCAAGTGCGGGACGTGGGGCCAGCGGCGGTGGCGGCGTCATGTCCTCGGAGGTGGCAGCGCGCCGCGACGCCAAAAAGCTGGTGCGCTCCCCCAGCGGCCTACGCATGGTGCCCGAGCACCGCGGCTTCGGAAGCCCCTTCGGCCTGGAGGAGCCGCCGTGGGTCCCGGACAAGGAGGTACGTAGCTGGCCGGCCGCTGCCCCG